TTGGGACAAACTCCCTGCTGCTCTTGTTTAGGACATCTTCCAGCACAATGGCTCCCTGATCTAGGTTGGTCCCTAAACACGTTTATAATAAACACGATTAAATATTAATAAAAATGACAATGTTCTAATAATAATGACAATGACACGCTAAATCCTGTAGAATTTATGTTCCAAACACTGCAGGAAAGGTTTTAATTGTGGATTTGTTTTGTTTTTCGTTTCTTTCATGATTGTTTTTATTTGAAAATGTCTATGAAAACAATTCTGCTAACTCTGAAGATCATAAAGACAGTAAAAGCTTTTAATACCACACAATGTCTAGCCCTAAACCCTAAAACTACACAACACTCACCCTTTAGGAGAGCATTTATTTCACAATTTGGCTTTATGACTGTCAACTGCAGACTTCCATACCTTAAAAAAAGTATATAAATTATGTCTTTCTTCCAATCAAAAAGGATGACCAAAATGCAGCAAAAGAGCAAGTAAAAGACATGTCTTTCTGTTACCTTCACATCCTTCTTTGCGATAATGTTGCACAGCATGCACTTAACGTCTGAAAAGTTGACCTTTCTCCATTCTGTCCTCTTTTGCATACAGTTTTGGGCTTTTTTAAACAATAAATGTGCCTGTTAGGCAGGCAGAAGTATTGAAAAGTAATTTAACTCTGCCCTCCTGAAGTTGGGAAGATCTCGATGGGCCTGAAGCAGAGGTGGGCTTGTGTTCTGAGGCTGGGACTTTCTGCCAGAACCCCCATCCCTGTTGAGCCTGCAATGTCAGCACTCACTGTTGGCCCTTTCTAAAGGTAATGGAAAGTTGTACAACTACACATACATATCTGTTATGATCCCCTTATGGAGATATAACCTTGCCAATCGTTTGAGAGCATCAGGAAGATGCCACTGAGAAAAAATAACTGGCAGAGGGCCTCCTCTCGAAAAACCACATTATGGTGCAGAATAGAAAGGATTTCCTCTAGGGTAGCCTTACAGGGCTGTGTTGGGGGCCAGAAACAGAAACTGCATTGCCAAAACAGTAAGATTGCATCAGGTACTGGAAACTGCCCAGTGCAAGGCTTAACCATGGGCACTACTGCACTCATTTTAAAAACAGCTTAGACAACAATTTCTCACCTTTAGAATCATAGAAATGGGTTTCATACCAGTACTAAATGAAGCACGGAATTTACTAGGTGAAAAAAATATATATTAAAAGGATATACAATATTCTTTTCAAAATGTCTCTAGGTTTTCCTCTGGAAATTTCTAAGATACATAACACAGTGTATGCGCTGTAGGCTAGAACAGATGCTTCACTGCATTTGTATAGATGAAACCATACAATTTATGCAGAAGGTATTCTAACACACTCCCAAAACTTCTGTTTTTACTCTCTTAGAGTGGGTGTGCGTGCACCCATATCTACATGTGTATACAGGTATATACACGTATGTGTATACATATGTGGAGAAATGGAAGTGGACTGTCTTCTGTAAGAGCAAATTTATATCTATGCTTTGCATTTGTACACATACCTATGTACAGATATAGAGACAGATACACGTGTGCATATATATCTGTACACATAAAAAAATGTATGAATGTGTAAATACCTATACACAGATGCATACAAGATTTTCTCTTCAGGAGTCAATCATCTTGTTTTTTGTAGATAAGAAAGCACAGCAGTAAATTTGAAAAATAATAGCTAAATAAAATAGTAGCACCCTTCCAGTTAAATAAAGTTAACAAAACTTGTCTGCTAGCTCTATTTATCTCTTATGACAACTAATTTGATCCTAATGACTCCCTTATTGTAATGTAAGACATGTTTGCCTCTTGGGAAAGGATAGGAGAAGGTTCCTTAAATGACAAAGATGTTGCGATGTACAGTACCAGCACTGAGTGTGACAGATACTGAACTTCAGGGCTAAGGAAGTAAAAAGAGATATATTAATCTTTGATAAAATTCACATGAGAAATCAAAGATAAATAAGACCAGTCACTTTTATTCTGGTTGGACAGTAAAATGTAGGGAAAATAAATCAAATAAAATATCATTGAAAGAGAATATAGAAGACATTCTATACACAAAACATCAAATTGTGCATTGTTTGTCCACTGAGAATATTAAAATTTACAGCTGTTGCTAAGTAATCTTGCCTCTTAAATAAGTGCCTTAACCAAAAAATCATGGGTAGCCATACTTAGGAACAACAAAGAACAAAAGGAAGTTCAAATTTGAGTAAGATATTAAAGTTTTTCTGCAGGAGAAAATGCATCAGTATCTTGTTTTCAAATATACTCTAGTTATTCACAAAAAAATCTCTTGTACTCTAGTTTCTAAACAAAGTCACTCAGTTCTTTGTGTGCTCATCAGAACTCATTTCTTAGAATAAATTCACTGTTAAACTAGAACCCAGTATTTACCCACTGATTTTTCTCTGGAATGGCTTTCAGTAAATTTTCCAGTAAATACAAATAGACCATGAAGTACTTTTATGCAATATGCTGTGAAAAGTGCTCAGGAAGAATTCTGTGTAAGTGACACAAACATAGTACAACCAAGTATAGTTACTGCTCTGATCCAGGCTTCTGCTAAGCTTTGGTCTACTTCTTCATCTTCAGTTCTGCTAATCTAGCCAAAAATCTGTGATTATCTCATAAATATTCCGGAATGGAATGAGTTCAAGCACCTGCTTAATTACTTTGCTAATACCTGGCTATAGCTAGAAAACTGGAGCAATAAGCAATCAAAGTTATGACACAGACTGTATTTAGCTTTACTATTTAGTATCTTGATTCCATAATATTTTCATTTCTTACCTTGGCTAAGATTAAGATATGAAAACTGGAGAATATCTTTCAGGACTGAGGAAAAAGATATTTTAAGGAAAAGATGCTTCATAGGACAATTCAACATATGTCACTACTTCTCTCATTTTCTAAGCTCTTATGTCATAGAACATTGTACATTTCATATTTTTTCACCTCTACCAACTCTGTAGTAGAGATGATTCTCCTCCTTCAGCTAACATTGCTCCATTTATTATCACCTCTATAATTCGATCTCTACAATTATCAACCTCTCTGTGTCAATCAGCGTTTTCCAATAACTTTCTAGCCTGTGGCCCATAATTCTGTAAAGTAAAAAGGGGCCTTTCAATTATTTGTCAGTCAGTTAGTTTTGTCTTAAGGGCAGCTGTCATGAATGAATTATTTACACTTTTTGGAATGAGGTGAGAAAATTTGGTTACATTTATACACATTTTTTCTGCTGAATTCATTCCAGAGACTGTAGAGATTGATTGGCCTGGGCAATCTATGTCATTTAATGGTGATAAGGAAGATATCTAAAAGCTACGAATTCATTGCCAACACCAAAAACAGCACAAAGCCACCCTAACTACAACTTCCATTGTTGACGCTAACAGTACTGAGGAAAATGTAAAGTACTACTTTAAGAAAAGTATAGTTTTAAGCAAAAAGAGACTGGAGATATTTCATGACTATGTGAATCCCTACCACTCCACACCTTCTGCAGAACTTGGGCCTCATACAGGTCAAAATTTTGGAAAGTGGAAATTTGGCTGTTGCAGAGTTGCACTGCTGACATCCTTGTGAGCCTTGTCCAAGTCATATATTAATTGTCCTGTCTTGCCTCATCTTTAAAATGGTAACAATAGTGTTCACCAACCCATTTAACGCTGAAAAATCTGCTTCTTAATGTTTGTGAAAAGACTAAAACCAGAAATTAGAAGGGATAGGAGAATAGTGAACTTCAGTATTCAGCATTACTTTATTTGGATAGCCAGCTGGCTGATTCCTAGTGTGGCAATAAGAGGTTGACCCATTTGGCAAAGACTAATGTTATTTATATTTGTCTTATACTGAAAATTAACATCTCTGTGGCTTTGGTTTCAGACTAAACAGCTTGTATTCTATATCAAAAAGCCAGCAATCACCAGCACCACCAGCTCTTCATTTCTCCAGGTAAGAGTAAATACTGAGAGGATGTAAAAGGGGTCTAGGGGATGAGAGAATACAAAAATAATTATTTCAAAAGATACAGAGCTATTGTTTGGATAGGACCCTGATGACCTCATGACATCACTAGGTGTATTAAATTAGATGGTCTAAATAAGACAACACATTAACAGACTAAGTACTGTTTTGGAAGCCACAGGGCTCTGAATCCAGCTCTTCTACTTACTAACTGGGTGGCCTGTTTAAGAAATTTCATCTTTTTGTGTCTACTTTCTCAACATATAAAAGGGAGTTATAACCACCACATGAGACCTGGGCAGTACCAATGGGTAATGTTTGTACAAAACTTTAAAGTGGAAAAAAAAAAAAAAAAAAAAACCAAACATGTTGCATAACTGCTATTAGCATTATTAACTTAAATCACCAGGCAGCTGTCCCTCAGTCAGTCAAGTTCATTTTTAATCTCTGACACGTCCTCACTGCTTTCAGGAGGAAAAAAGGCTCACTGTTTCACTCCATGCCCAGTTTTACTATTACCTGAATTCTTCTTCCAATCTAAAATACATATGTAAGAGAAAACGGTAGTGTAATGACAAAGATTCGGTTTTATCCTTTACACTAATTAAAGCAATTCTATGTTAGGTAGAGAACATTTGAATATCTAGAGCTCTATCTCAAGATGCACTCTTTGCATAATCTCTGAGGATCTCACACGGCAAACAACAACTTAAAAAGCATTTAGAACGTTGTACAGTTACTCTTATGTGCAGATCTCAAAGTACTTTGTAAACATTGTTATTCCCACTGGCAGGGAAACTGAGGCACGGCTAAGTGATATGGCAGTGGTTGTACAAAGAGTGAGTGGCAGAGAAGAGCCAGCAGCTCTCCAGTCTCTCAGCTCCAAACTACAAGCACTGCTCCCTTCTACTTTTACCTCTCCCACCAAACTTAACTTCAAACAGGGGATTCTGTGCAGCTGCCCACCCCAACGTGCCGGTGCCGACCCGCACCCACCTGCTTGTAGGCGTCCAGGAGGAAGCTGTTCCAGACGCAGCGCAGCCCCTCCGAGGTCAGCATCCTCCGCCACTCACCGCGCGCAGACTTAGAGCGGCTCAGAAACAGCACCATGTGCTTCAGGAGGATCACAGAGTCATACAGCGCAAGGAAGAGGCAGTTGGAGAAAAAGACCGGCAAGATCTGAAGCGTGATCAGCAAATCCACACTTAACAGACCCATCTTCCTTGCTGCTTCTCTTCTGCCGGATGAATTCAGCTCCCTTTTTTGCCCCGTACTCTCATTTACAGAAGCAAAGTAAAAAGCTTGTTAAAAGCCTCATTAGCCTCTCTCCGTCTCACTCTTCAAAATGAGCAGAGATGGTTAAATATGAGCAGGCTGGTTAAAACCATAACTGCATGGTACTCATTCAACTCAAAGCTGCTAAATTTTCAGAAACTAAGATGTTAACAGAAGTTCTTCCCTTAACTAGGAGACCTTCTGATTTTGCTAAAGAGAGAGGCAGCTGTGCTTCCAGCTCCCTGCAGATACCAAATTTAAGCTGAGATTGTTAATTGTTAACTTTCCAGCGCTATCCCATTGTTTCTCAGCTATTTAAGCACTGAACAGACCTCCCGCTCCTGTGTCAGTAAAGCTAGCTACCAGGTGCTGCAACACTTTTGTTAAAAAAGGTTTATGGACATACAAACTTTCAGTTCCTTACTCCCTTCCTCCTCCCTCTCTTTCCCTCTCTCCCCCCCTCCCTCTCTCCGTTCCTGCCTTCCTCCTCTCGCCCTGTCTCTTGCTATCTGCCTGTGGTGCAAAGTGCTTTTTCCTCTGGAGTTCTTGCTTGCTTCCCTGAAGCCTTTTATACATTCCCTGGCTAATTGCTGCAATAGAGAAATGAAACCCTAATCTTAGCAAAGATCTTGACGTCAATGTAAAAGAGGGCTTTACTTTGGCCAGGACTGCAGTGAATAGAAAAGTGAAATTCTCAAAACTTTTTTTTTTTTTTTTTTAAGAGACAGACAGCAAGGGTGGAACGCTGCTTTGCTTTGAAAAGGAAAGAGGAAAAAAAAAAAAACAATATGCTTCTGACTGCTCTTAAGAAATGCTTTCAAATTTTGGAAGAGGTATTTTCATATGACGTGGAAAGTGACACAGCAACGCAGGCTGCTATTGTGGATGTTGTTGTTTTGGTTTTTTTTTTTTTCTCATGGCTGTTTTTTTCTTTGCCCTTTTGTCTTTTCCAGGAAGGTATGTGAGGTGATGCATCCCAAGAAAGGGCATATTTATGTACAGTTTTCTCCCACCTCCATTAGGTACAGCATGTATAGTGTTTAAATATCTTTTTTTACCTTCTTGATATTTAAAAGAAACATAAGTAAACACTCAGAATTGACTTCGTTTACTGATATGTAAGAGAAGATGCTAAGAGAAAAAGAAAAAATGAGTCTCCCTATTCAAAAAAATGTTACATCTTTAAATGCTGTTAATCGGCTGAGCTTCAAAGACTTCAGTATTCCTTATGATAATTATCTACATACTAGTCTAAAAAGAATAAGTCATTTTTAGCTATAAGTTGGTTAAACAAATATCTTAAGCCTCCCTTGTAGCCCCATGCTGAATGTTTTTTTGTTGTTCCTGTTCATTCATTTCTCTTTATTCCACCCCTCTTCGCCCCCTTCTCCCCCCCCCCAGAGACCTTCTTCCATGTGATTATTATGTACCATAGAGTTTGGTTGGTTTTGTTGTTGTTGTTGTTGTTTTTTAACATGGCTTTGACTTCCTTAGATAAATATTATTTTTATTTCCTGTTGCAGACATTTATAATTTTTTTTTTTGAGTGGATGTCTTCCCTAGATTCTTATGTGGGCTCTCCTCACCAGATACATTTCCCTCCCAAAGATGCAAGTATGATATTAACCCCTATCAACTCACATCTTCGATGAACAGTGCAAACTTCCTTCATTAATGTGTTTTAGTCTTCATCAGTCATCACTGTCCTTCCACTTCTAGCAATTGCAGAAGGTAAACACCATCAATCTTCTCTATTCTTGGGTCTTTTTCTTTCATCTATTGCAACAGCAGTTGGGCTGCCACTATGTTAGCATGCACGCCTCTAGAACGGCCACCCTATACAGACAAGACTCTATATCTTGTCTTGTGCTTCCAAAGAAACATTTGTTATAAGTAGCACAATATTAGGCATTTGCAAAAGATACCACTCAGACAGGATATCTTCTAGCAAATGTTTACTCAAAGAAATAACTTTTAAAGGTTATTCACATTAAACCAGTGACCTTTTGCATTACCAGCATAAACAAAACAAACAAAAAAAGCATTGTTTCTTTCTCAAACTATAACAATTTGCAAGTCAGAATGTTGGTGATGACTGTGTTCTGTTGCCACAGATAGGATTGCAACCTCAAATATTTGGTATTATTACTAAAACTTGAAAAAAAAAAAAAGAAAAGAAAAGAAAAGAAAGAAAGAAAGAAAAAAGGTTATAAGCAAGCATTTATGTATCTTCACAAATGGATGAGTTAGTGTGTTCTTCTCATGTGAGCACAACACTGGAACACTGGAACAGGTGTCCCCTGAGCTGCAAAACTAGCTCGCTGTCTGACCTCAGGCAAGCATGTGTAATCACTTGATTACAAGCACTCTTAAACCTAGATTACTATTCTGTAGATCCATCACCAAAACATACACGGTTCTGTCTGGGAAGTTCCCCATTCTTTACATTGGAAGGTCTGTTAAAAGGCAGGCTTGAGGGTTGTTGATGATGATGCCAGATGAATCATCAGCCATTGTTTCTGAGAATAGTTTGCAAACAGCACGGAGGACAGTCCAGCTCAGGCTCTTCCTGTTCCCTGGAGGTAAAGGCAGGCAAGAACCTACGCTGGGAACACAATGTATTCTGGGTTCCTGTGAAACAACTGCCCCTACCCACAGAGTGCTTTGTGGGTGAAGAGATTGTTTGTAAGACAGCTGGAGACCAGACAGCAATGGAGCTTTGAAGTGCATTGGAAACTGAACAGGAAGCTCATGGAACACAAGTTTGAGATGCTATTTCATATTCTGTCACTTTTCTTGCCTTTGAGGCAGACTGTGCACATTGAGTTAAACACAACTACCTCAGTTTGAAAGCTCCAGTGAGGAGATGCTGATAATCCAACCACAGGGACAAAACTCTTCTGACTATGAAAATGTAGAAAGAAGCTTTTTGCCACTGCTGACTTCAGAAGTAGTCTGTGCCCACAGGACACAAGCACTGTTTCCCAGCTTGACAGAGTACAGCAGCCCCCAGCAGAGAATGAAATTTTAATTCCTGTTTCTTCATATTATCACTTCTTGCTTTCAAAACTGAAACAGTTCATCACTGCATTTATTTATCTCAGACACCAAAAATATAGGGAAAAACACTGCATCTTTTTTGAAAGACAAATACAGAAACTTATCAGCAGTTATTTTCCTGTAGATCTTCATGAAGGAAGGAAGAAATGCTAGATATTTCAGACCTTGAGGCATGGAGAGAGCTTTCATTGTCTTGAAGGAAAACTATATGAATTCCACAAACAAGGAAGAAAGAATGAGGCAAGGATGAAGATAACACATGAAAGAATACAGATAAGTTTCTGTTAAAGCTCATTTCAGTTACCTGCTCTGCCGTACCTTCCTGTATTATTTGGGAACAGTCCTACAATGTACCTCAGTTCTCCATCAGCAAAAGAAAATAAAAGTCCTCCCGTAATCTAAGGAGCAGTCAGGTTCAGTAGTGGGAAATTAAACATATCATCCATAATTTGTCAAGGTGGAATGAGCAAAGCCAACAGCATTAAAGCATTCACTGTTACTAGACCTTGTGTGTGGCTAAAGTCAACAGTATCAGTATAGATGTTCATATTCTGTAATGTTTATAGAAATCAGTGCCATCAAAACCATATCCATGCATAGATTCATGTTTTTTCCCAGTTTCAACCACAGTAGTGTGAAGATTAGGACACAGGCAACTAGCAATTTTGTTTATTGCAGCTCTCTTGATAACTGTGCCTAAACACAGGAAATTTGAGGTGGAGTTACTGCTGCTGAGGCCATATTCTCTGATCTCATTTTTTACTGGATCCATAAGAACTTTTTGCATCTCTGATGATGCACTTTACAGTCTTCACTTGTTGTGCAGAACTTCACATTTCTGTGCCTGAACTATGTGCGTAAGCTGCCACAACAATCAATCTTACTCTACTTGGATACTTTAATGCAAGAGCCTAGACCCCAGAACAAGTAGACTGGATTGATATTTTGATTGCTAAGCCTTACTTTCTCAAACTAAGACCGACTTTTTGGAACTCTTTGTAGCACAGCTGGGAAAAGGTACCTGATGGTGACAAGCAACAAAGCTGCTTCTCTGATCCTAACCCCAGGAGGTTCATGGGAGAAGTCGTCCCAAAGGATTTCATGCAACCTGTGTGTCTGCCTTGTTGCTTCTCACTGTTTTCACTGCCAAAATCAAAGAATGAAGCTTTTTGTTTCAGAGTTAGCTAGTGTATCTATGAGCTTATCCTTGGAGAATTGCACAGCTGCAGAGTGATATGGCTTGAGATGGGGAGGAGATAGTTTAGCTTAGCCATACCTTTGCCTCCCTGGCCTTGGGCAAAATTTGTTTGTTACAGCCAAACAAAAATGTATTCCTCTTATAAAGCTGTATTTTTTCTTTGCCAAAAGTGAAAAATCTCCCATGTTTAGCAGCATGAGATGTCATGAGATGTTGACTAAATATCTATTTCTACTGATTTATTAAGATCAGCAAAATATTTTCTTAAAGAAATGCCTTAAATTAAAAAAAAATTTCACAGACAAAGTCACAGTGGTACCTGGATGGATTATCCACAGTGCAGTGTCACCAGGCCCTGCCTCCCTCCACCAACTCTGGCTACAGCACCATATTTGAATGGAGCAACGTTCATCCCGCTGGCACTCAGCCCCATCCTGCCTGCTTAAAGCTGCTTCTGTTCCATGCAGCAACCCAGTTAGCAGCCTTTCAAAGGTGAATGCACTAAATATATCCTTACTGCCTTGTTTACCTTTTGTATCACCTTTGGTTCTGTTTGATTTGGTGGTCATTCTACTACTGCCATTATGCTGCACAACTGAAAGTTCAGCCAGTTCTGAGAAAAGTGCTGATTTAATCGCCTGGAAGTCTTGATGCATCTAGTTTAACTGCAGTGGAACTGAGTATAGGTAGTGAAAATGCAAACTATCCACGTGGGGAAGCTCCTCATAACAGTTTGGAGTGGAGTTCATGGAACAGGAAAATAAAGCCAATCTCATTGCCCACTGAGTCCACAAGGCAGCACTACAGGTGGAGGGCATTTCAACCAATAGATTCCAGACTAAAACAATATTCAAACAAATTAAGGAAGAGGGAGGCTACAAAGCTTGGACACCTTTGTGTAGGGGAGTAACAGCTTAAAATATTGCAAGCTATACCCAGATTCTGGTTACAACTGGCTGTCAGAGGACCATTTCAAAAAGACTGAAGTGCATGAGAACTGGAAGTACTGATGTCTCTGCAAAATCTGTTCCATCTTCAAAGCTGTCAATCTGGAACCTTCTAAGAGCCTTCATTCACTTTGTGACAGCAAAGTGAAATAATTGACTTGTGGGCGTGGGTGTGTAATAGTGATAACTTTGAGGCTAGGAAAAGTCCCTACATCCGTTTGCTAATGAACCTCAAATTTCTATGCAAAACAATCTTCCTGTTCCAATAAA